CTAGGTTCTTTGTGCATTGCAGTGCATATGGTACCCACGTTCTGGAGAAAGCAAATCAAAGCTGGATGTTGAGGCAAAATAAAGAGGCAGGACCATTTGTTGCTCTGACAATACTATCTAGGAGATGAGTTGCTGGCACAGTCTGGCAGACTGTGTGAGTAGAGACATTGGGTATAATATGCAAAGTTCAGTTTCACACGTACTTTTTCAATTCCAAAAGTAATTGTACCAAAGTTAATGGATTTGCAAGGATTTACACCCACACAGCGGGGAGGAGAACATGCCCCAGAGGAGACAGAAAGGACAGAGACCAGCTGGAATGAGCAGCACAGGATTTCCATGTCTTGGGTTTGGGATCTGAAGTGCTGACCATGGGCAGGGATTTCTGTTATGCTGCCAGAGGTGAAGATTAAAGTCCTGTTTGCTTAGGGGCATGTGGGCTAGGTTCCTTCTTTTGCCTGAGCTTGAGTGTGGTGGGACACTGGGGAGATGCTGCCTTTGATTTACAGTACAGAGACTGCCCTTGCGCTGTACCATTCAGAGTCCCAACCAACTCCCTACTACTGGAAGACATGCAGCAGAGCTTTTTCCCCAAGGTTTATCACTCCAAACCCCTTCCCCCTTCAATGTGTCCCCTCTATTGGTAGAGAGTGGAAAGGGCAGACAAGATTCGGACCTGAACAGGCAATGGCTACCCAAAAGGAAAACCCTCTGTGAGCAGAAAACAGTGTAAAAATCTCCATTCAGCTTTGAGGGAGCATGCAGATTGCTCTGCAAGGTAGCTGAGGACCAACCTGATGCATGACCGAGGGAGGTTGTGGCAGCTCAAGCAGCAAGATGGAACACACAAAAGCAAAGGCGTGGGGAGAGCCAGTGTTCCTGTGGGGTTTGACTCTCAAATGTTCCTTCAACACAGCTTCTGTTTATACAGGGAGGTAATGGATCTTAACTAATAAGATCTATCTGATTGGCAGAAAAATAGGGGAAATTAGCTTTACTGACAAAGAAAAAGGTTGTTTTCAGTTATCCTAATTTGCATTAATGCCTCTGCAATGAGGAGGAGGTTCTGCTGAGGGAGAGGTTCCTGTAGGTGAGGTCAACCACTGACCTGCATTGGGTGTCATCTGGCCTTTCTTCACTGGTGGTGGGAAAAAAAAGTGCCGCATCCTTTCTCAAGTATTTTGAGTTTCATTCTGAGACAGAGCATCATCTTGCTGTGCAAAAAACCCCTTCTGTGACACCAATGAAAAAAGCCTAAGAAATTAAATCATTAGAAGTCAAATCAATGCAGAATAACCTGGCATAGCTCCATCAAAATCTTTGCTTTATCATGGGAAGCCTTCCTTTAAAAGGATAAATAAACAAAACACCCCAGGGTCCCTCAGTGAGGCTGAGGCTAGCTTCTCCCTTTCATCTTTCCTTTGCAATGCTATTTATGATCCTAAAAAGAGATGACAAAAGGCTTGTTCTCCCCCCGCCTTGCCTACCAGCCTGGCAGGGGGGAGCTGCTCTCCCGCACCCGTCTCCTGCCTCATCTCGAACTTGGGACAGGCAGTGTCAGCCCCCCAAGGGAAGCACCTCTTCTGGGGTTTGGAAATCCGTGGCTCATTCTGGGTCTCTCTTTGCAGCCAGGAAGACCCCTCAAGATGAGGAACTGAGCCAAACAATAGTATCTTCTTTCACTTCGGCTGCTGTGCACAGCCTAACCAGCCTGGTGATGGCCTTGGTGGGGTGCAGACCCCTGCCCTGCACTGCTCAGCCCTGGCTTCAGCTCAGTTTTTAATCCATGTGTCAAACTAGCCATGTTTGGAGAATATTCACCTGCTTCAACACAGGGCAAACAGGGATGTTCCTGTGAGATTTTCTTTTTTCTTTTGTTACTGCTTTATGTAAGTGGCTGACAGATTGTGATGGAGATGAAGAAATAGCTCTAGACTCAAAGTGCAGGGATAAAAAGAACAAAAACTAGACTTTTCCCCCCCTTCCCTGAGAAAAGGTAATTTACGTAAATTTATCCACGGCCAGCACACGGCAATAGCTCACAACTTTGTTAATGGAAACCTGGTGATCCATAACACTTGTGTGGGAGACATTTGCTCGGGGGTAATACAATATTAATGTTAATATCAATGATCGATCAGAGGATTTGCAAGAAAGGCATAAAGTATTTAATTATAATTACATTGGGAATGGCTTTGTAATGGCTACGACATTTGAATAAGGTCACGTCTAGCCCTCACCCCTGTTATGTTGTTCTATATTAAATGCCATTCACTTTAAGTGCTGGAAACCTTTCTGGAGTCGTCAGAATATAATATACTGGGTAAATTGAAATGTGTCCCTTCATTTTTTGAAATATGATTGATATCCTTTGCAAAACAAATGTTAACACCTATTTGTACACAAATTTCTTTGATTATATGTTAAGGAAACTCAAGTATGACAGTCTCTCCCAGCAGGCACTTTACTGTGAGCAAAGGACATGGCTATTTGTGAATATTAATTCATCTTACTGAAAATGGTTTTGGATCTCTGCTGTAAATCCATCTGGATGTGTTTCTGCCTTTCCTAACACATTTATCCTATATTGCTTGGTAGCCATAACTGTATCTCCATCGGTCTCAGCAGCCCATGGTGTTCATCTAGGTAAGGTGTATGCTTAGTAGGAACTTTTGCTGTCATTGAGTTACCTTTTGCTAACAGCATTAACAAAGAACACACAGTAAGAATCATATTCACACATTTCACAGCAAAAAAATATATATTTCAAATATACCGCAGATGTGCACTATAACCATCAGCCTAACTGCAGCATTGCCATGTTTAAAACAATCAAGAAAAAAACCTGCGTATAAAGCATGAATATATAAATGCAGGTAGGACCCTAGAGGTGCACACATACCAACCCACATGTGTGTGCATGCAGACATTGAAGTACTAAATGAGGACATGCTCTTCCCACATCTATTTACTACTGAACACAAATACTAAAGGAGCAAATTCTTGTCCCTCTTCAAATGAGAATCCGTCTGCCCAGTGATCCCAGAGGTTTTCTTCTTTTTCTGGTGTCATTGTAAACAGCAGATCAATCAGGTCTAACGAGTCAAATTTTGCTTTCAGGTAATCACCCAAAATAACCATTGATTCACAGAGAATTGAAAGCTCTCATCTGAAGCCAGAATTTGGTCACAAGAAATTGTCCCTTCAAAGTTTGGAAGACATGCAGTCATGTAAATGATGTAATTTTCTATTTCGTCTTTTCTGAAGAAGAAGCAAAGACTTTTGCATGCTATGGAAATGCCTGAAGATAGCAAGTTTTATAGTTTTCCCAAAAATGAGCATTTATTACCAATCAGTGTGAAATACCACCGATGGTAAATTTTAAGTATATGGCAGAAATTTCAACATCATGACAACATACATCATGCATTTTTACAACATATAAGTGCAGTGATATTGCTCCCTTTCTCAATAACAATATATAAGAATATATAGTATAAATGTACAGTATATATTAGACACAATGTAAAATAACTTAGTGAAATGTCAAAGCTTCTGCATAAAAATTCAAGTCATGCCTGAGCATACCTCTAGCACAATTTTGCTTAATCTTATCTCACATACCTTCATTTACTTTTAGTTCATGTTGCAAAGATAATTTTGCCTCTTTGTATATAATTGCTTAAAACCACCAGAATCCTTGTCTTTTTTTCTGTTATCTGCAGCAGGTGAAGATTGTAGTAGCCAAGCCAAAACCAAGATTTTGTGGAGTCTTTACTAATGCTGACATTAGATACTGGGAAGAAATTCATCATGAACAAGTTGTATAAAAGCAAGTTCTTAAATGCTCGTTAACAGTTTATCATTGCCCGTCAGGTTCTGTTCTGAAATACCCCACTGCATGTAAATGGTAATGAAACGGCTTGCTTTAGAAATGGAGCTCATGATCTAACATTGCTATCAGTAAATTATAAATCTCACCAGATTTGCTGGAATCATATCAAATACCACTTTGGTAATTGCTTCCAAGAAGGATCAATAAAAATCTATTTAATAGGAATATACAACTTGTCTCAAAGCAGGTAGGTGGAATTCTGGCTTTGGTCAATCCTGGATACAGCTTCTTGCAAAGCCAGGTCTCCCTTCACACTTGCTAAATGAAATATGCTCAAGGACTTCCCTGCAGCACCTCAGGAAGATTTCTGATAGTACAAGGGGAGAGGGTTATTTTTTTTTAAACCAAGGCATTAAGAGGCCTGATGCCTCTGTCACATTACCCATCAAAGTCAACCCGAGTTCGACAGCCTTGCAATTAGCTTTCTTGGAATTATTTTGAATACAACTTCACTTCAGCATTTTAAACAACTCTGCCCTGAATGTCAACAAAAATATACTTTAAACACATATTAATAACTACATTATATAATCAATGATTAATTAAAGCTGCACAACAGTTTGGAACATGATGTTAAAATAAAAACTGAGGGAAGATATTTTCTGCGATTTCTTTTAAGAAAACAAAGCCCCCCCGCCCCCTACATTCTCAGCCAGCATCAGTCAACAGAATTACACTGGTTTAGATCAGCTTAAGTTCTGACCTATATACTTCAGCGGAATTAATCCTAATTTCCACCAGTGAAAGTGGAATCAAATTCACTTCGTCTTTAATAAAGCAATGGGTGATAAGCAAGTCTCTTTTCTGTCAGATTGTACTTGAGGAAGGAAATTCTTTGTGGTGTTAAATGACGTCCACGACAGTTTAGAAAACAAAGCCAGAATTTCATTAATTTCAGCATAGTGAAAACTGATATTGGTAACTGTTATTTATGGTTTAATCTTAGCAAAGTTCTTTGAGTGCAGACAGAGTATCAGCTGGTGAATCAGTAACCCTTTCTGAGTACTGCTCGGGAAGAAAACGAGGAGGCAGGCAGGTGGTTTTCAGTGACATGAGGCTGCTGAATACACTGTGACTCAGACTTTGTTACCACGAATAAGTAACATCACATTGTCCAGAACTGGAGATTAATTTGCTGGGCCTCCAGTAGATGATATTTATTTTCTTGCATATTATATTGAGATCTCAGGACGGGCAAAGGGTCTGGGGCTGAAAGGATGTAATCGATGCTGAACTTAATTTCAGAATCCGATTTTGCCAAGGAGGAATTGCTTAGGCTCTGCCTGTTGGTCATGCTGTTTGGAGCAAACCCACGAGGCTCCAGTAGTCTTGGTCCTGATTCAATTCTTTCGTGTTTACTCTCAGACGAGGAAACGTTGTTTAAAGCAGAGTCCGTAGAAGACATATTGAGGGATGAAGGACTTTTCCCTCTGCTTGGTCTCGGCTGCTTATGTTCCCTTTTCATGTTCCTCCTCCTCCGTCTTCGCCTGTAATTCCCATTTTCAAAGAGATCCAGCATGGATTCGCATCCCGTTGCAAAGCTCCAATAGTTTCCTTTCCCCTTCTCATTTCCTTCTGTTCTGGGAACCTGTATTTATTTAAAGGCAGTTCAGTATTTGTATGTGTTACAGATGCTGCTGCTTAACATCTGCATTCATTTACATTCAAGAATGGTGTAAACACATATGACGACTTTTAAGCCTATTCTCTTTCGTTGTATGAATAGGATGTAAACTCCATCCTCTTCAATTTGTTATCTATTAGCATGCATCAGACAAGGATATATTCTTTATCTCTATAATTGATGACTCAGAGAGATTTTAAGTGATTTGCAGCTCAGCTGTTTGTTTCCCTTCTTTCCTAGTGATGAGATGATTCCTGCATATATTTTTTTTAGCCATGTACAGTGTGTATGTAAATACACACTTAGTGATCTTACCTTTACAAAACAACTGTTAAGTGATAGGTTATGTCGAATGGAGTTCTGCCAGGCTCTTTGATTTGATCTGTAGTAAGGAAATTTCTTCATTATAAAGTCATAAATGCCAGAGAGGGTGACTTTATTTGAAGGACTTTGCTGGATGGCCATTGCAATTAAGGCAATGTAGCTGAAAAAAAGGAAAACTTGCTATTACACCGTCGCCTTACTCACATACTCAGTTTTTAGGACCACATGGGTACATGTGTACCTATATCCTGCTTCCAAAAGTTCTCCCGATGGATTTGTGCCCTGACCTGAGACATCTCAGGGACGTCTTGAGCATGGTCACTGCCTCCCCACCCCGAGCCCCCGGCACGATACGCAGGCATTACTTCCAGGCAATTGAGTCCTGACCAGGCTGTTTACCCTGGCACTCAGCACGGAGTGCTTAGATACAGGAGGATTACAGAAAGATCACCCACCTCTCAAACCCTGTCAGAAAAGTTTCCCTGAGCTGGAAGGCTGCAGTGGGACAGACCAGGCTCAGGGACACTGTCACTGGACACCTTGCCTGCTGGTGGAGAGGACCTTAGGGGCTCCCGTGAACATCTGCACCACGCATCTTCCCACCACACCGGGGATTATCTGCACCCAATTCACCCATTGGCATGCTGCACATTTAATTCCCCTTCTCCCAGGGCTCCTGGAGGTCGGAGGAGACCATGTGAAGTCTGATGGCTCAGTGGCATGCCAGAGTTGCCGTGACCCCACACAGGAGGAAATAAATCCTGAACACTTCAAACACAGAGCCGGGGGGAAATCTGCCCGCTGCCGTGCCTGCGCCGGGGCCAGATCCACTGCGCACACCTGGAGAGAGAGGTCCTATGCTCCCCCAAGAGCTATGATCCCACCATCCCAGAGCTCAGAAACCTCCCCAGAGATGGGGAGACTTGGAAAAACTTCATCTTACCTGTATGCCGGTCTGGTGAATTTTTTCTCTTCATCAGAACTACATGTAGGATAATCATCCCCATCATAATTAAAGCAGTTATAGGGGTACTGCGTGTTGTCAAACATCGTCCTGCTCCTTGCTCAGCTCCTGTGGAGTGAGAGAGATGGAGTGATGTTTCTCGGAGCTTGGACTCCCTCCTCCCTTCTTCCCTCCCCTCTGTCTGTCTCATTCCCTCTCTCCCCCCTCCTCACACTCCCTCTCCTCTCTGCACACATACTCTCCGTGATGGGGTGGGGATTGTTTTTGCAATTCTCGTGTCCCAGACAGCCCGTCTGTTAGGATATTAATTTTTTTTTGGAGGGGGGGGTGTTATTGTTGTTATTGCTGTTGCCTCTAACGGGGTGGCGGAGCCAGGCAGCTGGTGACTGATGGAGCCGGTGAATTGGGGGTGAACCTTTGAACCGGGGTGTGCACCGCCGGTAGCTCCGCTCGGCTCGCTGGGTGGTCTGGACTGGAGAGGGGCCAGCGCTCCCCCCGCCACATCCACAATGTGACAAAAGCAAACAGCATGATGTTAATAAATCATGCTTCAAGGTCTCTACTTGGGAATTAAACTTTGAGAACAGAGTGCAGTTCTCCCCAGCCCCCAAGTTCTCCTCCTTCGTATTTTTTCTCTCCCCAGTGAAGGAGGGTGGTTTTCTTATTTATTTATTTTTAGAAACCCGATGTACAATAAACAGACGTTCCAGGCAGTAACGCATGCTTGTCCTGATCTGCAATCTATAATACAGTATAATAGACATAAATTATATTTCCATGACTAAAGGAAAATGTGTATGTTCAAAGAAAGTAGAACAGAGGGATATGAGGGACTACTGTCAAGCAGGAAAGTAAAAGGAAAATAGCTGTAGGCAGGAGAGCTGCCTGTGTGGGCTTTGATCTGAAGGATGAATTAGACTAATAGCTCTGTGTGTTGGCATCCAATACTGTAACAATTTAATAGTTTTTCAATGCTTTGGAGTGTTTTCCAACAAGTGATGTAAACCAAAGGCATCACGCACTATTTCAGGGGGGACTAAAAAGGTGTATGCCACATGATAATTAAATTATTTGAAGACAGCTCTGTCCCAGGAACTAGCCCCAGGAGGAGATGGGTATTGGAAAAGAGAAAGCAAATTGGTGTACAGAGAGTTACCTGGATGGAAATATAAAAGCAAAACCACTAGCAATACAACTTTTGTTTTCTATAGTATCTTTCATACAAAGAATGTCCCCAACCCCCTTTTGAAGTTAAAGGATACAATTAGGGGGAAACTCATCCCAGTGATAAAGAGTCTTTTAAAGTGATGCTTAAGTGGCTCCTACAGTTTTGACAAAGATGGACATAAGAAAGCTTTTTCTGTGGAACATAACAACACATTATAGCAGGGAGTAGGGGGAAATACATGGCATGAAAAAATAGATACAAGAGGTGTTTTCTTGGGAATATGAAGCCAGAGAAGATACCTAAAATAAAAAATTAGCTCCACTCTAAAATACATCAATAGGTGTATGCATGAGGTACCCACTGCAAAGGAGGTCTTAATACAAAGGGTCAGCTACTGCTGCCTAAGGCGTTAGCAGGACTTTAATATTGAGTAAGGTAGAGCAGATTCAGTGGTGGAGAATGAAATATATAATGTCTAATCTTCATTCATACTCTGTCCAGCTGGAATGAGAAGATTGAAGTAAAGGAGAAGCTGGACCACAGACTTAGGAAGATTTTCCCTCACTAAAAACTATGATCTTTGAGACAAAAGTAAATGTCCACTTCAACTTTTACCAGTGGTTCTTTGAAGGTTTTTTACCTCACTGAAATTCCAGTAATTCAAAAAGTCTTGCTACTGATTTATAACAACTTTTAAAAAGCAGAACTGGGTTAGTTGACTCTGATTTCACACAACCTGTTAGCTCCCTTTTTGCAGTTCTTCATACTCCTTATGAAAATTGCCTTGCTAAGGAAGTCAAATAATACACTTTGACTGAAATCCTCACATACTGACTGACAGTATATAATAAGTAAAGTTCTCTGTAATGGGAATTATAGCAAATGACTGTCGTGTCTTACATCTAGTAATGTTATTTGCCTCAATTGCTGTATTTTCTTGCTGTGGTGAGTGTAACCAGCTCTCCCATGTCGAGCACATCTATAACATGCATTGCGGCTGGTGGTTAGCTCTATTCTCTGTGCAGGAGCTCATGGTCACTGTATTCCTCACCTATTTCAGTGGAAAATAACACTTAGATTAAATTTCCATCCTAGCTGTTGGCTTGTGAAACTAAATTCAGCAAATGGAGGTGGGTCATAACAACCAGTGCCAGCATCCTTGAGCAGCATCTCAGGAGTGAGTGGGACCATGGGTGGGTGCAGGGGCAGCTTGGCAAGATACATAGGAAACTCCTGCCATTGCCACTTGTGTGACACATAATCTGTGGACAGATATTATTATTTCCTGATAGCCAGCAGTGGGCTGGAGGATATAGTTTCTGGCTCTGTAAATATCACTAAATTCACCTGCTACAAATTCATATAGAATGTAAGAAGAACACAGACCATTTTTGAGTCCTATAAGATCAGAAACAAATTATATATTATCTCTCATAAACTTGCTTCTGAAACCCAGATATGCAAAACTGTCTGAGTATTTCTCAAGGTATTTTTTAAAGCCTGCATACTGGTATTTTATCCCCAAGTGAATGTTTATGGTCCAATTATAATCCTTGAAAATAATATTCATAAAGAAATGCTAACATGCTCTTACATGTACCATGGTAGAGCTAGCAGGTGCCATGCTTATGGTGGCAAAAACATGTTGTACAATAGCTTTTTCCTAGCATCTGTGCAGTCATTATAGTTTAACTGGAGTAACTATAACTCATCCCTGTCATTATCATAAAAGCATAATTTTGCCAGGCTAGTGTTTTCTTATGTTGTATATTTTCAGAACACAAAGTTGTAAACCATTTGATTTGAGATTGTAAATAGGCAATAAAAATGCTGTGGAAGATTTGCCTATTTTTTTTTTTAACATTGATGTTAAAAAGTTACTTGCATTTTTTGTAATTATGACACAGATTATGAAAATTGTACATGAAATTCAGATTGGTCATAAATCCAAACAGGGCTGAATTACTAAATCATTATAGCTCCTCAGAATAACAGTGGATACCTCAGTGTGTAGGACTGTGCACTGACATCCCAGTCCTCTTACTGCTGTAGACTGACATTTCCCAGCAGCACAGCTTCTCCTGCTCTCCCACTGACTTGGGAGCCAGAGCTGGTTTCAGTTTAGGACTTTATCCCAAATCTTTTAAATTTATCATAGATTCGTAGAATTGTTTGTGTTGGAAGGAACCTTAAAGACCATCTAGTTCCAATCCCCCTGGCATGCGCAGGGACACCTTCCACCAGACCAGGTTGCTTAAAGCCCCATCCAACCTGGCCTTGAACAATTCCAGTGATGGAGCATCCACAACTTCAGGGCAACCTGTTCCAGTGCCTCACCACCCTCATGATAAAGAATTTCTTCATTATACTCAATCTAAATCTACCTTCTTTCGGTTTAAATCAGTGGAAACAAGTGGTGGCTTTCAGTAGGCTTTGGATCACTCAGGAGTGGTCCATACCACCAGTAAACTCCCTTCTTTTTAGTACAAGATCTGTAGCTCTGGCAAACAAAGAAGAAGGTGGTGAAATGAAGGTGGTGGTAATTATTCTCCCAGTTGCTCTGATAAGAGGTAAAGAGAAGGTGAATTCCCCAGACTTGGCTGGGTACTTGGCTACGATGGCACCTAATACCCCATATGAGGGATCTTCTGACATTCAACTCAGTAACCCTTATTTCTAGGAAAACAATGAGTCTTGCTACACTGTCCACCCGCATTTCATCCTAAATTGCTCTCTGCTTCACCCATGGCCATCAGTTGACTTGCTTTCCCTTCTGTTTTTCATTTGTGTTCATATGTAGAACTTCATGGAAATAGAATTTGCACCATAATTTGTGGTTTTCTGCTGGAGCTTAGTGAGAATTGTTTGTGTTTCCTAGCAAGGGGATTATTTGGAGAGGCATTCCTCATCTGCATGCCTTCTAGCTGCAGCAGCGTGGAACTCATGCGTAAAGCACAGAATGGGTTTCTACCGAAACAGGAAAGTGGATAAGAAACCTTCAATAACAATTCATCACATTAGAGGTGGTAATAAGAGAGCAATCATATAAATTAGCTCAGATATATTATCCCTGGTTTAGCTGGATATGGAGATTCACAAGGCATATGTGAAAATCCATTTCTGGAGATGCTCAGTGTGTTTTGGTAGTGCAAAATAGGAAAAGAAAGGTTTTCAGAGTGAAAAGCCCTTTCTCCTACCTATTCCTGGGTTGTGACTATTGGTCAAAAAAATGGTTTTGTGAGAAATTCCAGCTGGTCAAGCTGAGGGCTTTCCACAGTCTTGTGAAGCCCTATGACCACATTGTCACTAGGATGGACCCTGTTTCCCTTTGGGCCAAGGAGGAGTTTGGATGTTTATAAGTTTATCTGCTTGGTGTGCAGACCTGGTACCCTGCTGCCTCACTATCCAATGCAATGGTCTCTTCTTTTTTCTAACATTATTTCCCTTTCCCAGAGCATAGCAAATCCTTTTCTAGTGAGAAGCTCTCAAACAAGTAAAGTGACAACCACTGAGTGGGTGAGAAGCCTGGAGCTGTGGAGAAATCCTGCAGGTCTCTGAGACCAGCTCCTGGGAGTGCGGGGTTTCCTTGTGGAGCTGTTCACATTGATGTTTGAGGGTTGACTGTGACTAATACCACACAAATTAGCACTAAAATATATTATTTCTCCTTTGTTCCCATGGAGTCATGTCTTCAAAGACAGTGGAGGGAGAACACGGGCAAGTCACTAGCTTTTAGACATTTATTAAGCTAAACTCTCGCATTTTTTCTTAACACATTTTCTGCTTAAAACCAAAAATGACGGAAAGAGAATTAAAAAGCTTTACAAAGAATTAAAAAAAAATCAGTTTAGATTGGACAAAATGGTTTGTTTCCACCTAAAAGGATTTTCATAATTTTACATTCTGTTTCTGGTTTGC